TGTTGCTGGGACTCCTGCTGAATGAACAATGAGCTGGTCTGGCTCGTTAGTGCTCCGGTGGGGAAGCCGGGGCTGATTGGGGATGCGGCGTCCGTCGGCGAGATCCACGGCAAGCACACATAGCCCTCGGCAAACAGCAGAGCTCAGGGAGCCCCTGCACCCGGCAAGGACAATTAGAAGATGTGTTTGAGAGAGACAGCAGGACACAATGATCATTTATGAAGAAGAAGAGCGAGTGGGTAAATGAAATGATGGGCTGAGCGACCTATAGGCTGAAGTAAATGCGGTTTGTGAAGAAGACCAGACGGAGGGTAAAGCATCACATCATCACTAAGTCCATCATGACAAGCCTCTCACGCTCACATTCATCTCACAAACACGGAAAGTAATGAGCGGTGAGCTTGATGTCTGTGAATGTGAGGAGGTCAAATAAAGCAATAAGCTGCTGGAGGATGTGCGTGATAGTGATTGCATCATGGGGAATATAGTGCTGTAAAACCCTGTTAACCGTGGTAAAGTCACTGCAATGCATGGTCTTGGGTGCCTTATTGCGTTCATACAGCAGTATGATAGAAGAAGCCAATTGTTTCCTACCCTAAGCCTAACAGTAACACTTAAGGGAACATATATTCACTGTTAACTAAGAGTTTTCCCTGAACAAACTGCTAATTTGCTGCATATTAATGGTTAGTAAGGTAGGTAAGTTTAGGTATGGGGTAGGAGTATGCTCATGCAGAATAAGACATTAATTCTGCTTTATATGTGCTAACCCTAAATATTTACATATTAACAACATTTGAGAGAAACAAAAAAGTTTTAGTCCATGAACATTATAAATATAGGTATATGTATACCATATGTGGGTGTATGCATATATGCATGATTACATTGATTACAGTGTCATTAGGTTTTGTTTTTGTTTTTCTTCTTTTTTTCTTTAATTTTATTTGCTGGCATGGGGGTTGGGGGACTATTCTCTAAAATGTGAAAAGCTTAAAATAAAATATTCAAAAAAAGCATAAAAAAAAATATTCAAATATATATATATATATATATATAGAGAGAGAGAGAGAGAGAGAGAGAATGTGCAGTCAAAGGAATGCTTTTATTGGCATTTATTTGTGAGATATATATATATGGTCATTAACTAAAGTGCCTTGTCCAATCAGAATTTATTGAACTATTATGAAGCGAAAACAGGCCTGGTAAAACATGTTCATGCAGTATACCACGCTTTCTGTGTGTAAATGTGTTTGTATGATGGAAGTTCATGGCTTGGGTCTCATATATGGCTCGTGTTTTTTAGGAGCCCTCATTACGGCGCTCCGGGACTGGGCTCGCAGAGCGGCTTCGTTCTGCAGCTTATAGCTCAGCGCTATTGGATGCGTTCCCCATAAGCATACAATGCAATGGGAGAGACCGTTTGAAAGGGAACACTCCAGTTACTTTCTTAACCTCGGTTCCCTGAGATAAGGGAACAAGCGTTGTGTAAGCTTTCGTGCTATAAGGCTGCACGCAAGTCAATGACTGCCGCTATTAGTCGAAAGATTCTGATGAATGGCTCTCTGAGCCGACTTATATAGCAGTCAGCTCCACCCCTTTTAGAGGGTTGAAGCGCCATTTGTTCGTGCAGCTACACGAACGTGAACAAATCAGGCTTCAGTATCAGTGTAAACAGGAGTTTACCCCATAAGCTAATCACCTAGATCCAGTCCATATCCAGACCAGATGGTGGATCAGCACCTAGAGACGACCTCTGCAGCCCTGAATGTCAGCAGAGAGCATGTCAACTAGATGAGCCCCAGAGACAGATCCCCTGTGAAGACCTCGTCACCTCGATGTCCATCGGCACAAGACCACGAGAACCAGACGAGTCCTCTGCACAATCTGACCTATGCTGCAGCCTGGAATTAAACCACGCCATGCTGGTTTCGTCTGGCCAGAGGAGAACTGGCCCCCGACTGAGCTTGGTTTCTCCCAAGGTTTTTTCTCCATTTCTGTCACTGATGGAGTTTTGGTTCCTTGCCGCTGTCGCCTTTGGCTTGCTTAGTTTGAGACACTTAATTTCTGGCAATATTGTTGGCTTGACTGCACAGATACTATTTGAACTCAACTGAACTGGATGATGACATCACTGAATCAACAATGGACTGACTTTAGCTGGAAAATTGAGTGTTTGCTATTGTCCTCTTGCATTAACGACACACTATTTTCCTGTTTAATAATTTCCTGTTTAACACAATCTGTATTGTATAAAGCGCTATATAAATAAAGGTGACTTGACTTCACATAAGCGTACAATGCAACGCTCGTTCCCCTATCTCAGGAAACCGAGGTTACGAAAGTAAGCAGACTGTTTTATACATTTTGTTTATTTCGTTTTAGTTATTTTTGTAAATTTTAAGTGTTTTAATAAAAAAACATTTCAATAAAATAATTTAAATATTTACATAATATATTTAATAAAATATTTTTAAAGAAATATAAAAAAAAAAAGAAATGAAGAAAAAAAGACTGTGCCACCTTGTGGAGAGGAGAATCACAAGATTCCAATAAGAAAAAGATGGCTTTATATGCCTCATACATGTGTTTTAACATAGCAGTGATAAGCACGCAGTTCCTGTCCAATAGTGAACTCTAGCTGTGATGGACAGGTAGCTATTTTGACAAAGAAACAGGCCGAGAACGCCTCTATCGACCAGTTGGGTCCCTCAAGTTTTGGTTTATGAGAAAAATAAATCCTTCTCATACCCTCACACACAAACAGAGACACAGCGGCCGTATCTCAGCACGCAGAGAGCCAGCCAAATACTGACTCGTCTAATAAAAAGATACTAGATCTTGAAGTATCAAATAACTGGGGTGTGATTGCTCATTGCTGTGTAAACAGAAGTGGTCAAATAAACCCCCACGGGCCGCTTTCTTCTTCCCGAACACTTCTTTATTCCTCTCTCTCTTTATTCCCTCGCCCTCTCTCTGTAGTATCACATTACCCGAGTGAATTCCTCTGGAGGTACACCTGTGAAAGCACGAGCGTGCAGCCCTGCTAGAAAAATATTGTGTTCTATAAAACTTCTCCATAATCAGGCCAGGTGTAATAAATCCAGGACAGAAATATTAAGTGGGGCTGATATTTCCTTGGCCTCTATCCAGCTCTGCTAGTAAAAACCGGCAGCCAGAATGACCTTAGCGTTAAAGAAATATCAACGCGGCAGGAGGAGGACGGAGACGACAGTGTCGGCGATTCTTCAACAGTTTCAAATGTGCTCCGTTATCAGTGTTCATTAGATGCCAAATTATGCTAAACAGGGCTGTAAAGGTGTTTAAGAGAGTTTGCAATGATCGATGACTTTTAAAGGCATATCGCAAGGACATCTTTCTGTGCAATGCAACTGCTCCTCCAAGCCTACACGCTTCTACATAGAATAATGCCACATCAACCTACACAGACCCACAGACACACACTCTGAAACTACATGTGAACGTACACACAGACACACAGTGCTACACACACTGGCTTTACGTATAAGCGAATTCAAGAACCCGAAGCATTATAGATAATCTTATTTCACAGATACGCAGAGCACATTGCCTTTGGGACACATTTGCTTCTGTAAACGGAGAATTCCCCAATCACACTCTTCACAGCTGTAGATCAATAGCCCTTAATTAAGCCACATCTAAATGCATAATCAACTCATAACTAGATTTGCATTTCCTGAAGGGAATATCAGCCATTGCAAGACAGCAAACGAATGTTTCTACAGGTAAGTTTAGGTTTCAGGCTTTTCTCGTTGCTGGCCGGATGGTAAAATAGATGCAAGAAAGAAATGGCCAATCAGAATTCTGAATGCAAATTGATGCGAGGGAAATGACAAATCAGAATGCATATGCAAATATGATGATTTCACATTTCTAGACTGAACTTAGCTGCAAAACAGTTTGAATTGAGTCATTACACAAAGTGGTTTGAGTTTAATTAACAGCGGAAATTTATGGAGAAGACAAAATACAAAGAAATAAGAGGAAAGTCAATACAGTGCTCTGAAAACACACAACAAAACATATGTTTGAAGCCAAATGTGCACATTGTATTAATGTGCTGAGTTTATGAAGGGGAAAATGTTTTATTGATCAAAGTGGAAGATACAAAAAGGAATATTTTACTCTGCATCATTTTCTCAATTTGTTGGAGCCTGTGAGTGATGAACGAACATAACATTTTAGTAACCCTCCCATCAGGGGTCTGAATCGAGCTTCATTCAAGCTTCAAGATTCGCTAATCAGTGTTTTGTTTTCCAGTAAAAATATTTAGATTAGTGTGCACTATTGCTTATTAGCATGCTTATTGTTAGCATATTGGCTGTTTATTCATACTTATAAATCACATATTAATGCATGAACATATTCTAAATCCGATAAGCCTACCCAATACCTAAACATAACAACAACAACTGCTTTACTTACTATCAATAAGCAGCAAATTAGGAGTTCATTAACTCTTAGTCAATAGTGAATAAAAGTGAAACCAAACATTTAAATACCTTTAAAACAAGAAACACATTCTTAAGACATGAAATTGTGTAAGATAACATACCTTGATTTCACTTTATTTCTTTTAGGAAAAATATAAGACATTGAATAAAATTATGTTTTTTTTTTTATCAACAAGAAATTCAGTATTGTTTTCAATAATACATTTACTGAAATGTTTCTAAAATATTAGTTTTTAGAGAATATATCTTTAAATGTCATATCATGTAGTGCAATTTTGTCTAAGTCAGTTTATGAAGGTGCTATTTATAGCATATATTGGGAGAGTGAAGGCTTATAGGCAGCCATAAAGAAAATAGAGGGCTATGAATAAACAGACGAAGGGAGACATAAAAGAGATACAGTGTGAAGCTTGCTACTGTCTCTTTAAATCTTCTGGTCCCTCCTCCTCCCCTCCAGAGCCAGAGAGAGAGCCGTCTTCACTAGCAGCCAAAGCCTGTCCATAAACTCCAGCCTCTTCCCCCCTCCATCTGGCAGGAGGGACCGAGAGAGATAGAGAGGGGACCAGAGTGCCAGAGTGCGCGTGTATCCACAGGGTTTAGAATCGGAGGCAAAGCCAGCATCCCTCCCTCAGTCAGAGACTGTCGTCACGGCGACAGGAGGTGTCTGTTCCACGGCCGAGAGACGGAATACGAGGCGGAACCGGCAGCTAGTGGTCGCCGCAGCAACAAGAGCATCCGAGGACTTCCAGGAGTCCATGCAGGAGCAGAGAAGCCAAGGCTGCCGGGGGCTCGAAAAGAGGGGACCCGGGGTAAATCTTTCATCCACCACCTCCTCCCTCACTCCTCCTCCGCTGCTGCTTCACTTTCTCTCTGAAGGACGGCTCTGAATGAACTCTCCTTCTTACGGTGGGCGAGTGTGGCTGGATGGACACTGAAGGGAAAGACATAATACAGTGGGATTGTGTGTGGGAACGGGAGAGAGAGAAGTAGGGGTGATTGGGAGGAAGACGGCGTGTGTGAGAGAGATGGTGACTGACGCCGCAACAAAACGGGAAAGATGATCCGAGCTCAGCCGAGCCGAAATCTGTATTCCCGTTGTTCCTCAGGAGGGAGTAAAGGCAAACCTGCATGCACTTTCTACCACTGACCAGGCGAGAGGTGAGAGCGAGAAAGAGTGCCAGAGACCCCTGTTTTATAAAATGTATTTCCACGGGGGCTGGTGTGATTCAATTTGGTGAGCGTGTTTATTTGTATCGGTTCTTCTTAGTCTCTCTTTGCTGTCTGTAATTGATTTTGTGTAGTAAACCGAAGCTTGAACACGGTTAAAAGAGAAAATCAAGATATGTGTTTAAGAAAATTGAGTATGGGGGAGAGAAAAAAATGACAGGAAGAGAGACGTTACCAGATAAGCAGAGAAATTGCTCTCCTTCCTCTCTTTCCAGGTGTTGTGTCAGATTGTCTCTTTTGGCAGCGGTTTGAAGGGTCAAGTTATCCTCTTTTATTCCCTTCCAATTCTTCCTGGAGCAAAAGACATGGAATTTACCTTCTCTGATGGCTTTTGAAGAACGCCACGCTATTCTAAAAGGGTAACAACTGGATTTCACCCGACATCAAAGGGAACTAGATTGAGATTCATCTCTGTCTCTATTTCCATTTAATGAAATGGGTGAGAAATGTCTCTCTGACCTGGAGAAAAGGATGCGCCATTCCGTCTGAAACCCCGTGGGGGATTACATGTGAAACGTTCATCATAACACTTATTGTAAGTGTAGTTGCAATTTTGCTAATCACTCTGAAAGCATTACGTCGGTTGCCTTGGTTTATCGTTTCAGACATGCACAAATGCACAAGGACAAACATATATATATATGCACATAAAATCGCTGTGGCTTTTTGGCTGAATTAACATCCTCTCTCGCTCCGCTTTTCTTTCAGATCCCGTTCAAGGAAACGCAAAGTTGGAATATTTCACCTTTTGGTTTTACTTTTTTTACTCCGAACACAAGACAAAAAGACAAAACGTTGCAGATTTAAAACAAAGAAGCACTTCAGTCTACTCTGACAGAAAGGCAACTTTGGGAGTTTCCTTTTTTGTCCTGGATTGGATTTTACAAGAGTTAGCAGTGGATCAGTCGCTCATACAACCCTCCTAGCCATGTCTTCATGGAAGAGAAGAATTCTGCATCATAGACAACTGCTTTCCATCCAAAGTTACCCCTAAGGACTCACACATGCACACTAAACACATGCTAGGGTGAAATGAGCCACGCTTCTTGCACATTTCACTTCTTCATCCTGGAGTTCGGTGTGTATTCTTGGATCTAACAGCCTAACCATCCTTCAATGATTCCAGCACCTTCTGTTCCATCCGCGTCTGTCCCAAGATGCCCCGCCGTACACAGCAAGAGGAGGCTTGACCCCAGACCCAGCGAGGTCTCTCGACTGCCCGGGCATATTTAAGATGTTGAACCCTTCCTGCGTGGCCCGAGCCCCAGATCGGATCAGTAGCACTGCGGCTCCTGGAGGCCCCAGACATGGATCGTGGCTCGGCTCGCCCCTGCCCTCAGCGCTCCGCACCCCGGCCCGTGAGCAGCCTGTGAAGGATGTCCCAGAGCGGAGCTCCAGCCCGGGAACCCTCTGAGACCCCCAGTCAGAGAGAACAGATCCGCAGCCACATGAAGATGGTGATCAAGCAGCTGGAAGGAATCCTCAAGGAGCTGAAAGATGTGGCACATGAACTGCGGGAGGTAAGGATTGGGAATCCTTTGGTTGCCTTTTACCTTTGAGGGAAATTAATAGGTTCTGTTTGGACTTTAGATGACTGGTTTCTCGAGCAGGAGATAAATAATGAATGTTTTCCAGTTTGGACTGGCAGGTTGAAGCAGTACCAGTGTGGTAGGGAGTCAATGTAGCCTCATTACAGTAAGAAACCAAAGCAAGCGGCCTTAACCTGAGAATTTAACTGTCTTGGGAATCAAAGAAAGGGATTTAGCTCTTTTATCCAAAGGCAAGGTGCACTTTTCCCTTGCAAGAATCTGTTGCAATGCCAAATGATGGCGTGAACAGATATACAGAGAAAAATAGAAAGGGAACAAAAGTGAGAGGCAGAGAAAAAGGGAAAGATCCAGGCTTTTAACTGTAAATCAGCAGGTTTGATCCCACTTACAGGTGATCCATTAACTATAGACCCTGTTTCTGTTCTACCGCCATCGTGTACTTGAGCAAACCACTTAACCCATAGCTGCTCCAAAGGGACTCATTGAAACTGCCCTACTGTAAATTGATTTGGATTAAACTATCTATATGTATTAAGCACATTATATTATTCATAATATTGTTATAAGATCACGCTCCACATGCACATGCATTTTTATTGGCCTTTGTTTAAGCCTAGCATTATCATGCTGATTGAAACAGACAGCGCTCCCTCTGGAGTCAGCTAGTAGTTGCACTGAATTTGATGATCAATTTCATTAATGAGTCGATTCGCTGCTGCTGTCCTCAGTGAGCTGATTGGTTCTGAATTCTCTGTGGCGCGTAGCACAACATGCAAAAACCATCGATAACATAAACACTCCCATTACGGTTAAACGCCCCAGATGCATAACGGGCCCACACAAGATGTCTATGGATTGTCAGAAAATACAAGTGCTTGAAATTAAGTGTCAGAAGAGAGTGAAAAAAGTGCCATTCTTTCTAGGAATGAGAGAGAGAGAGCTTTAGACAGACAGACAGAGAGAGAGAGAGAGAGAGAGTGATGGGAGGAGAGATAGTAGCAAGTGATGAAGACGGCGTCTCACAGGCAGACAGAGAGAGTGTGACAGGATCAGTCGGGACTCTCGGCTCACAGCGTGGAGGTAACCACAGGGGGCTTAATCCCCGAATCAAAGGCTGCCGCACTCTCGCTGAGACTGTTTACCCTGTCTGCCCTCTGACAGGACCACTGTATCCGCTAGAGGCGCTGCGGTCGGACAGATTCCTTCATGCAGATTCATCAGATCCAACAGTAGCCAAATTTGGAATTTTTCAGAACTCAATTTCGATTCATTCAAGATTTCATTAGATGACAGGACAACAAAATATTATGGTTGAGTCATTTTGAATACCCAAACTTGCTATTTAAAGTCAAGTTTTTGCTCAGATGTTGCTTTTTCACCACTTAGTGAAATTGTGCACCTTAAAAATCAACGTAATTGCAAACTGAAGATGTTTCATACCTTATGACAGGGCTTCCAAAAAGGTGGTTCGCAAACCCCTGGGGTTTGTGAGTTCATGAGAAGCTAACAAAAAGTTAAATAAAATATAATATTAAAATAAGTGTCAGAAGAGAGTGAAAAAAGTGCCATTCTTTCTAGGAATGAGAGAGAGAGAGGAAGTAGACGGAGACAGAAAGACACAATACGGAGAGGAGACTGTGTCTCACAGCATGTAATGAGAGAGACGAGTGTCATTTGGACAAAGAGTACTTATCTTTGCTCCAGTGCAGTGTCTGCAGCTCGTTTAAGTGTCTGTGCCTGAGCTCAGTAATTTGAGAGATTGGTTTATCACACAGAAGCAGAGGGAGTGATGCAATGGCAAACATGGCTTCCTCTAAGTTGAGATTTTAGACGAAACGGCTCGGCCTCTTCTAATGTCCTCACTCAAATAATAATGAGACGACTCGTTAAAGGAATCGTTTGCCCCAAAATGGACATTCTGCCATCGTTCATTCACACCGGCGTCGTACGATGTTCTTTCTTCTTTTGAAACACAAAAGTAGGGATTTTCAAGAATGCATTTTTTTTTTCATCTCACGCAATTATAATGAATTAGGACTGTAGCTTTCAAGATTCAAAAGGGATGCAGAAGCGCCAAATATAATGATTTTACTACACTTATCAATTCCTAATGGTTGCATTTCATAATTTGCATAATTTCCAACATTTTCCTAGACAGATGATTACAGCATTCCACTAGGTTTGTAATGAGAAGTGTTTGTAAACCTGCTCTCAGAGACACTTAAGGCTTTCCTGCAGTTTTCCAGCAAAATTAAAGCTTGAGGGGTCCCCCCCCCCGCCAATTTAATTGCCGGACGATTAAATCAGTTTTAGTCAATTAAAACTAAGCCACATTTTAGTCATGCTGCATAGTGGTTAAACTGCTAATCGCAATTATTTTGCTCAAAATTATTATTGTGATTGCTGATCATGATTGTTGTCATTTGAGAAATTACATCAGAATTATTGCACTTTAACCGATAAGCACAAATCAAGAGAATGTCAACTCTTGCACATGCTTTAATCTAGTTTCCTGATTTATTATATTTATTATATATTCAGTTGTGTCACAAAATAATATATTTCTGTCTTAGAAATAATAATAATAATAATAATAACAAAGTTGACAATACAAATATAATTAGTCTGAATGATTCAATCATGAATCTTAATGATTTTGCTTTAATCTAGTTTCCTGATTTATTATATTTATTATATATTCAGTTGTGTCACAAAATAATATATTTCTGTCTTAGAAATAATAATAATAATAATAATAACAAAGTTGACAATACAAATATAAATTAGTCTGAATGATTCAATCATGAATCTTAATGATTTGGTGTTTGAATTCAGTTCGTAGATTAAAGGAGGGAACGATTATAAGTTAATAACTACTTTAATTTTGGTCTGATCATGTCACAAACATGACTCTAGAAGACTTGCAAGTTTCTAGACTAATTTTATGATATCTTTATGGTACGCATTTGTCCTTTTTGAAGCTTGAAAGCTCCGGTCATCTTTAATTGTAATTGATCGAAACATTTCACCTTTTTTGTTTCACACAAGAAAGTCCTATGTGTTTGGATTGATATAAGGGTGAATAAATTATGACAGTATTTTCATTTTTAGGTGAACTATTCCTTCAAACATGATTATGTTGCATATATGCATCACATATGTGTCCCCAATAGATGCAACAGTCAAGTTGGATCCTTGTAGAGATCTATAGCACTTTTTAGGCAGAATCAAGTCAAAGGAATCAGCAAATGACTTCACTGAAGCTCCTCTGATCAAACAGCATCAGTCCCATTTGTAAAGACTGTGCCGCAGGCTAGTTCCTTCCCTTCACACAAAGCCTGTACAGTTGCAAAGTGTCTTTACAGTAACAGTATGTCAGCAGTTAAAGTCAAAACCCATTTCTCTTTTCTAATCTGACATATATATGAAGCAGGATATTTAACGTGAGAAGATGTAGGACAGGACTTGATTTTATTCATCTGGAAGCAATTGTGAAACAAGCAGGATTTCTCATGTCAGCTGAAAATGAAAGTCAGTTCATACAGAACGAGTTATTATTTTTTGATGAAAGATCATATGTTTTGATAAAGTAAATCCAGTCTGTTTTGATTTTATGTTTACTTTAAATGCAACACATAAATAAGAGTAAAGTCCCAACAGAACAAAACTCAAAAAGTTCAGAAACATGAAGTTGTAACATTAAGAAGCTACGGCATTTCTTTCCTAACTCTTAAAAATTACTTTTGGTATTTAGCAACATTCATTTAGTCCAGGGTTGTTATAGTTAACCAAAACTAAAACTAAAAGCAATAATTAAAATTAAATATACAAATAAATTAATTTTATTTCAGCTAGTTTTAATTTAACATGAAGTATTCAAATAACTAAAACTAAATAAAAACCTAGATGGATGGATGAATGGATGAATGACAACTACAATGAAAATCAGAACAGAATATAAAGATGAAATCTACTTAAAAATATTGACAAAACTATAATGGCATATCATTGATACTAAAAGAACACTGATTTAGTCAATATATTTTTACATCTTTAACTTCAATAAAGGCAGTATATTTAGAAGCACATTTTTAGCATCACATTGTATTATATTCTGGTGAGGAATCGAACATCTGAAAACACACACACACACACACACACACATATATACACATACATACATATATATATAAATATATATATATATATATATATACTGTATATTCACATAAACATTGAACAGTGCAACACCAACAACACATATGAGAAAATAAATTAAAATGAATATAAACAAAACATATTTTTCTTAAATATAAACATGCATGTGTGTGTATTTATATATACATAATAAATATACACAGTACACACATATGTTTTATTTTGGATGTGATTAATCATGATTAATCATTTTACAGCACTATTTTTTTTTTCAGTTCACAGTAAATGCATGCTTCTTAATACTAACTCCATTGAAAATGAAATGTGCACTAGGTTCACTTCATTTATATTCACATAAATGTCAAGATTTGTGGACATCAGTTTATAGCATTTCACAAATACTCAGTTAAAATAAAAGCTTGAGGGTTTGTGGGTGACATTTCTCACCGATCGGTGACATGCAGCCACAGCCGAAGTCAAAGGCAACTAAAATGTTCTTATGCAAGACATGTGAATAAAGCTCCTGTCTCCTGCTCTTGAGCTTCATTGTAACTTGATGAGACTTGAACGTTTTCTCTATAATAAAATTACACACACCCAAATCAAAAAAGCTAATTTTGAAGCTGTTATGTTTATTTTTAAAAAACATGTTTCTAATAAGTAACTCGATAAAAAACGTTTGGGGTGTGAGTAAGTTATGTTGCAGAGCAAAACATGTATCATCAAGATATGTTTACCACAGACCTTGTTTTACTTTGAAAATGAAAAACCCCATTAGAAAATCTTGAGGGAACCCGTGGCAAATTTTGACG